TCTGAAAAGAACGAGGTGAACCAAGGAGAGATGGGGCCAAATCGCATGTTCAGAAAACAAACTTAAATGGAGAGGCAGATTGACACCCAGCACCATACGACAACTCTTCCTTCTGCAAAGAAGTGTCATCGTGCAAGGTAAAGATTTATTCTTCACTGGATAGGAAGGCTCTACCCACTTCAGAAATGATTCAGAGGAAGTGCTCTATTCATTCAATAATTCACTGTTTTTTTCTGGCTTCCATGAGAGCCTGGAAACAACTGCTCCTGCTGTTGCTGCTCCTGCTTTAAGGCATCCATTCATTCATGGGCACTGGGCTGTTAAAGCAGCAGCCCCTTTTGCAGACTTACCTGAAGCCCTTTTCCCAAATCATGTTTGAAGAAGGCACACCCTGTCTAGACCTGTTCAAAGAAAGGCTGGGCAGCTCTGTTGGTGATTGAATTTGGACTCCAGCGCAAGCAGGATGTTGGACCCCATGGCTTAAGTTGATCCTTCCAACCACATTATTCTATGAAGGAAAGGAGGAAAGGTCACATCCGTGTTCTGCAAGAGTTTGCCTTGCTGCTGGGAGAGAAGTGCTGATTTTCCCATGCAGTCTAGACAAAGAAATGCAACCTTGAAGAAGTACACATGAAATCATCTTCTTCCTTGTTCCCTGCTTCTACTCCACATTGTTGGCAGCTGCTGGGTTAGAAGGTCAAAATATCTGGTGAAGGAATCCAGGCAGTTCTTTCAGTAATTCCATGACGTGGAAGAAGAGAGAAAAGTTTTAACAGGTTTTTTTCCCTTAATATTGCCACCAAAGCAAATAAGAAAATAGGAATTACACTCAGCCTGGCAATTATTATAGTGGCGATATTATCCTGTATATCTCTTTGACAATAACCTTTTCGTAGGGAAATCAGTATTCTCAATTGATTGTGTTTTCCCTCCATCCCCCCTCTTTTTTTCTGAAGAGAGATTCTGTTAGAGATTATCTCTTTGCATATGAGTCTTCATATGCTGTTCCTGGGTTGTTTCTTATCTGGTCTCAGAACTTTCTCTATCATCTATCTAGAGATTATCTCTTTGCATCTGTGAGCCTATCTGGACCTCTAAGGCAAATGGTCAAGATAGAAGAAGGAAAGAGTCTTCATATGCTGTTCCTGGGTTGTTTCTTATCTGGTCTCAGAACTTTCTCTATCATCTATCTAGAGATTATCTCTTTGCATCTGTGAGCCTATCTGGACCTCTAAGGCAAATGGTCAAGATAGAAGAAGGAAAGAGTCTTCATATGCTGTTCCTGGGTTGTTTCTTATCTGGTCTCAGAACTTTCTCTATCATCTATCTAGAGATTATCTCTTTGCATCTGTGAGCCTATCTGGACCTCTAAGGCAAATGGTCAAGATAGAAGAAGGAAAGAGTCTTCATATGCTGTTCCTGGGTTGTTTCTTATCTGGTCTCAGAACTTTCTCTATCATCTATCTATCATCTATCTATCATCATCTATCTATGTTCTATCATTTTATTCAGCTTCCCTCTCTTCAAGATGTAACATAGGTAGAACTGAGGGTTTTCTGTCCTCGCGTATTTCTTAATAAATGGTCAACCAACTACAAATGTCATTTATATAAATATAATTAACGTGAAGTCCAGTGATTGTCCTGATGACTTCATGGACATGTGCTTATGGCTGTCTTTGCAAACATACAAAACAATTTTTATTCTGGAATATTTTTTAAATATTCCCATCTATTCTCCATTCCTAGCATCCCTGGACGTCTCCCATCCAAGTAACAATCAGACCCAACTATGCTTAACTTCAAGCCCAGACAAGGTCAGCCGGCTGTTGCCACTTGCTGCTTATTTGTGCTGTTATGGAAAGCACGGGCTGAATTCCCTTGGGACCTTGGCTGCATTTTTCTCTTCTAGGGGTGTTTTTTTTTTTTTTTTAATCATCTCTCTGAAAGTTCGGTTTGCATCCAAAGAGATGGCGTCAATGGGAGCTTCTTTTGGAGTTCTCATAGTAGCTTTTGCGGGGATCGTGGAAAGGAAAGGAAAAGATGGAGGCTTCTTCTCCATCCCCCCAGTTCCAAGGTTCTTGATTGTGTCCCATGGTTCATGCAAGATACATCACATCTAGAA